GCTCTCTCTCTGTCCCTCTGTGGTCAAGTTAAATAAATAAATAAAGTTAAATAATTCTTTAAAAAAAGATTTTTTTAAAAAATTATTTAATTGGGGACAACAGTTGGCATAATGGCTATATCACTGAACTCCCATATAGTTGACTGCGGCTCAAGTCTCGGACCCGTGTGCATACGTGCCCAAGATCCCGAGAGGAGAATGGAAGAGAAGGGACTGCGGCATGGCCATCCCCCGGGGGGATGATTTCTCCCTTTCTGTCTCTCTGTCTCTCTCTGTCTTTCTGGCAAGTGTATGCGTCCTATAGCAAAAACTCTCTCCAAAAAAAAAAAAATATTTTAAATAAAAATATTTAATTTTTTTTAATGATCATTACTTTTAAAAATGTATTTAATATTATTTTAGATTATAAAATATTTAGAGAGAAAGAGAAATAATATTATTAAATATTTATTTAATAATTTTTTCTTTTTAATTATAAAATTTCAGAGAGAGAGAGAAAAAGGGAAAGTGAGAAAGCAAGCTGCCAGATCTGGAATGCAAACCTTGGTCAGCCACATGGGAATTCAGGGCCCCAACCACCACGTCACTTGCTGGTCCCTTGTTATTATTTTTTAATTTGCTAAAGGGTATGTGCACTTACTAGGAAGAGACACAAAGAGAGACAGAGATAGATAAAGTGAGAAAGCAAGCTGCCAGGTCTGAGACTCAAACTGCGGTCAGCCATGTGGGAGTCCAGCACCTTATCATCACACCACCTGCTGGCCCTTCAAATGAAACGCTTTAAATAATTATCAAAACTAGTAATATATATGTTGTTTTGATCAATTGTATATTACATAATTTTAAAAACTCAATCCAAGGGCCAGCAAGAGACGTAACGGTTAAGGCACTGGACTCCCACGTGGCTGACTGTGGTTCAAGTCCAGGACTGGCAGCTTGAAACTCATGCCAGGAGTGTGTGCATGTGTGCCCCACATCCCAAGAGAATGGAGAAAGAATTGCAGCCTTGCTGTCTTCCCTGGAGTTGATTTCTCACTTTCTGTCTCTCTGGCAAACGCACATACCCTATAGCAAAAATCTAGCAAAACCCAAAAACGACAACAAAAAACTCAATCCAAAAAGAGTTTAATAACATCATAACTCAATTTTTAATATTTTCAGAGTTTGTTTTTTTTTTTTGCTATAGGGTGCATGTATTCTCCAGAGAGAGAGAGAAAGAGAAAGAGAGACAGAAAGCAAGAAATCACCCCCTGGGGGGATGGCCATACCACAATCCCCTCTCCTCTTGCTATTGTGGACATAAGCATATGTGTACACACACCCACTCAGCATGAGTTTTAAGCTGCAGGGTCTGGGACTCGAATAGCAGCTGACTACGTGGGACTCCAGCAACGTAACCATTATGCTATCTGCTGGTCCCAATTTTTAAAGAATTATTTTAGGGGCCGGCAGGTGGCATGGTGGGGAAAGGCACTGGGCTTCCACATAGCCTATAGTGGTTCAAGTCCTGGACCTGGTGGCTTGCTTTCTCTCTCTTGCTCACTTTGTCCCTCTAAACAAAGAAAGAAAGTTAAATAATTCTTGTTTTATTTAGCTTTATTTATTTATTTATTTAAATTTGACCATAGAGGGACAGAGTGAGAGACAGAGAGAGAAAGTGAGAAAGCAAGTTGCCAGGTCCAGGACTGAAACCGTAGTCAGTCATGTGGGAATCCAGTACCCTTAACCACCATGCCACCTACTGCCTCCTGCAATTTTTAATACATTTTAATTAAAAATTTCACATGTTTTTTGTCATAGAGAGGTAGGGTAAAACAAGGACTTTTAAGTATAAACTCTATTACATACTAGAGAAAACTTCAGTGAGAACACAAAGTTCAAGTAGGAAGGAACAATGTGCAATTTCCACTGTCCAGTAAAAGCTGGCTTCTGGGACCAGCAGTTGGCATAATGGCTTTGTCGCTGGACTGCCACGTAGCTGACTATGGTTCGAGTCCTGGACCCGGTGGCTTAAACTCACGCTGGGCACGTGTACGTGCATGCCCAAGATCACGAGAGGAGAATGGAGAAGGGATTGCAGCATGGCCATCCCCCCACCCCATCCCGGGGAGGGGGGTGATTTCTCGCTTTCCGTCTCTCTGTCTCTCTCTGTCTTCCTGGTGAGCACACACACACCCTATAGCAAAAACCTCCCCCAACCAAAAAAAAAAAAAAAAAAAAAAAAACAAAAAAAAAAAAAAAAGAAACCAAAAACAAAAACAACACCTGGCTTCTTTGTTCCCCAAAAGGATGAAGGGGCCGCAACCAGCTGAGAAGCCAGATCCCACATGGCAACAGGGGTTCAAATCCTCAGTCTAGTCAGCTTGAAACACAAGGTGCATGCAGGCCAATGCCCAAGATCCAACTGGCCAGAGGGCTGGAGGAATGGGATCCAGGAGTGACCAGGCCCCACAGAGAGTGTTCATCTCTCTCCTCTTAGATGTCTGTACAGAAAAAAAAAATGTGGCCTGTACAAAAAAAAAACAAAAAAACTGGCCTGCAGTTTTCAAAACAAAGCCCAGCTCACTGCCTGCCTTCAGCTATCAGCTCTCATCTTTCCTCAGGCACAGGCACCTGGAGGCTCTGTTTAAACTAACACCCAGGAAGACAGAATTAGACCTTTCTTAAGGCAGATTTGGTTGGAATTTAGAGCCACCCTAGGACAAAACCAAACCAAACAGCTTACTTTCTATCTTCGGCCAGATCACCGCGGCATTTCACCAGTTTCCTTAGGTCTACGCTCACCCCCTGCCACACCAAATTATTCATGTATTCAGCTAAGGTCAGCACCCCCTCCAGCAAGGAAACAAAACAAAAAGATGAAACATAGTCCAAGGTTTCCATTGCTCACCTTCAGAATAGCAAAGCTCATTCAGGTGATAATTTAAGGGAGAGCAAAAAAAATCTTTGAAAAGTAAGTAAATTCAATACCGCAAATGCCAAAGTCTCCTTTGGAAAGCTGTGTGTGTGTGTGTGTGCGCGCGCGCGCGTGTGAGCTTCCAGCTGATAAGGCCTAAAACTTTATCTACAGTCTAGCTTTCCAGACGAGAAAGAAACTAGGTGTGAAAATGGGATAATCTCTAAACACTCGGCAAACACCTGCTGCTCGGCAAAGCCCTTTCCATCCACCCTAAGAGACCAGCATACTTATTCCCATTTTTTCAGATGAAAAAACTGAGGGCTGAAAAGTACCCAGTCACACACACGAGGGGACGGGGTAGAAACTGGACTAAACAAATCCAACCTAGGTCCGACCACAGTTTTAGAGAGCCGTGGCTTTGGCCTGAACCTGCGTTTCAGCACTCAATTTCCAACCCCCTCTGTCACTCTTTCTCCATTTCCATAGCTGTAAAACGGAGGAAATAGCATTTTCCATGGCAAGGCGGCAGGACCCGGATACCTCCGGCGGTGATTCCGCGCCCCGAGCCCACTTCCACACCGCCGGGCCCGCCCCTCCCCAGACCGCCTGTCCGCCGCCGGCCGGGGCAGCGCACTACTTACCCGTTGGCTGACCTGCCTAAGACGCCGCCGCTCGCCCAATCTCCACGGAGCTTACAGCCGGCCTCGGCGAGCAAGGCGGGACCTCAGGCGCGCGCACGCGCACCGGACGTACGGCCGCGCCGGAAGGGGCGGGCCGAGAGTGGCTCCGAGTGCAGAGGCGGGTTGGGAATGCTGGGTCAAAATTCCCTCCAGGTGGTTTTCTTTCTTTCTTTTTTTTTTTTTTGAGGGAGGGCGGTGCCCGCGCGCTTCTTCCAGCTGCAGAGGCCTAACTCCAAATCTACACTTGTGAGCCCTTGGCAATGGGGTTCTTGATAGCTGCAGTACTTACCTGAGCACTTTCTACCTGCCACAGCCGAAGAGCACACCAAGCATTTTCTCAATCTGTGCAGTCGTTAAGTTGGATACTGCCGGTATCCCCGTTTCACAAGGAGGCAACTGATTGTAGAGGATAATCCACTTGCCCTCTTAATATAGCAGTTTAACTGCAGGGCCCACATTATGTTCATGCAAGCCTAGTAAATCCTTAGCTTCTCATCCTGTCTCCTCTCTGGAGATGGGGGAGATCACTACTGTGTGGTTACTGATTTAGAAATACAGGGCCAGCCAGGTGGGGTGGTTAGGTGGTTAAGGTGGCTGGATCCCGCGTGGCTCACTGCACAGTTTGAGTCCTGGACCCAGCAGCTTGGAAAACACATCCAGTGTGTGTGCATGTGCCTAAAATCCAAAAAGGAGAGTGGAGGGGCAGGGGCTGCCTTGGAGTCATCCTCCCTGGGGAGTGCTATCTCACTTTCCTTCTGTTTCCAGCCACCATACATGTCCTAAGGCATTAAACTGAAAAACAAAACAAAACAAAACTTGGAAATTCATAAAAGCATCTAGTAATACTTCACATACATTCATTTAATTCCTGGCCTGCCTCCCTTCACTTTCCCTAAACTGTATCTCTACTCTCCCTTTAAGGTAGGAATCTTAGGCGCCATCAGGTGGCTTAGTGGTTAAGGACCCTGGACTCCCACATGGCCCACTGTGGTTTGAGTCCTGGACCTGTGTGGCTTGCTTTCTCACTTTCCCTTAGTCTCTTGTCAAATTAAAAAATAAATGAAGTTAAATTTAAAAAATATAATAAAAGGTAGGAATCTTGTCTATTTTTACCACTAGTATACCCAGTGCTCAGCATAGGGATTCAACATATTGAAGAATGAAGCCATTTAACACCTTTTTCTGATCACTAAAGTTCATTGATTTCAACAGCCAAGGAGACTGTCATCATAAATAGGATGCCATTTATGATGAACAGGACCGTTTGGTCCAAACACTGGTAGTGTTGGAATCTCCCCCACATCATCTCTGCCATCTATATTCAGATATGTTGAGTATCAGAGAACTCACTGCCTCTCACGACAGCTTCACGCTACCTTTGAAGTCCAGTCCTGGAAGGTAGAAAGTTCTAGTTCTAAACCACAGGGTCATGCAGAACAAATCTTTTTTTTTTTTTTTTTTTTGCTATAGGGCACATGCGCTCGCCAGATAGACAGAGAGAGACAGAGAGACAGAAAGTGAGAAATCACCCCCCAGGGGGATGGCCACACCACAATCCCTTCTCCTCCATTCTCCTCTTGGGATCTTGGGCACGCACCCAAAAGTACCAGGCATGAGTTTAAGCCACCGGGTCCGGGACATGAACCGCAGTAGGCTACATGGGAGTCCAGCGACATAGCCATTACGCCAACTGCTGGTCCCCAGAACAAATCTTATACTTATTATACAGAGCTAGATAGAGCAGCTCAGTCCCTTTCCTTCGCCAAACAACCTACAGATAACCTAGCTCTGTGGTTTTCAACGTTCTCCCTATTCCTGATACATCATAGGGATACCAATGGCTGGTCAAGACTCTAGTAGGGATAGAAACATGCCTGTACCGCCCCCATCCCCCAAAATATCTGGCTCTTCCTGGGCACATTGTTAAGAAACCCCTCCAGATACTTTTCTCAGATACTGCCTTCAGTATTGAAAAATGTAGAAAAGAGGGTCTTGTCTTCAAAGTAGATATCCTTGTGATCCAATCTGTCAACAGCAGCTGCCCCTCTGCCCTGGGATGATCCTGGAAAAAGGGCTGAAGGGCTACTGCAGGCACTTCAAGTCAGGTTTCTCCTAAGCACGGAGACTTGCCCTTTGTAATTTTAAGATGATGCCACCAAGGACTTTTTCAGCTTTATATATACCCTCCATTATTCAGGAAAGCAATAACAAATTTTGCGCTGGCTCTAGCTGCTTACGTGACCTCATTTCACCCAGACAGTGACCTGCGCCTGTTACCTTTGTGTCCTTAGCATTAGCAGGAGGCCTGGAATACGGTGCTGCTTCAGATTTTGTGAGATGAACAACCCCGAATCCATTAGAGATGACTCCAGTGACTCCTGGCTCTTACACTTCTTTTCCAGATCTTTATGTTAAATAAATATTAATAAGCAATTAAATGTATACTATACTTCACAAATACCATTAATATTAATCCTTTATTTAAAAAATTCCAAAACCAAACCAAACCCAAACAAACAAAAACTCTCCTACAGGCCCTCAGCAGCTGAAAGATAAAAGCCCAAACTCCCTGGCCTAAAAACCTAAGACCCTGGGGCTGGCAGGTGGCGTGGTGTTGGACTCCCACATGTCTGACTACAGTTCAAGTCTTGGACCTGAAGGCTTGCTTTCTCACTCTCTCTCTCTCTGTCACTCTCTGGGCAAATCGAAGAATAATAGTAAAGAAATAAAATTAAATAAATAATTCTTAAAACAAACAAACAAACAAACAAAAAAACCAAGGGTCAGCAGGTGGTATGGTGGTTAAGGCACTAGACACTCCCACATGGCCGACCACGGTTCGAGTCTCAGACCTAGTGGCTTGCTTTCTCACTTTCTTTCTCTCTGTGTGCCTGTCTTTCTCTGGTCAAATGAAAATGACTGAATAAATATAATAAAATAATTAATAATTTTTTTTGAGAGATTTTCACTGTAGGGCGTGTGCACTCGCCAGACAGACAGAGAGAGACATAGAGACAGAAAGCGAGAAATCACCCCCCAAGGGGGATGGGCACGCCGCAGTCCCTTCTCCTCCATTCTCCACTCGGGATCTTGGGCACGCACACACATGCACCCGGCGTGAGTTTTAAGCCACCGGGGGAACACGAACCGCGGTCGACTACGTGGGAGTCCAGCGACATAGCCATTACGCTAACTGCTGGTTCCCAATAATTAATAAATTTTAATAAAATAATTAATTTTTTAAAAAAATCCCTAAGGCCTGGAGGCCAGCCAGTGGCATAATGGTTAAGGCAGTTGGATTCTATGTGGCCAGCTATATAGTTTGAGTCCTGGGCCCAGAGGCTTGGAAAAAAAAAAAAAAAAAAAAAAAAAAAGGCACCAGCAGGCACGTGCCCCAAATCCCAAAATAAGAATGGAGGAGAAGGGACTGCAGTGTGGCCATGCCCCTGGGGGGTGATTTCTCTCTTTCTATCTATCTATCTCTTTCTGGTGAGTGTGCATGCCCTACAGCCAAAAACAAAACTTAAGGCCTTCCATGACCTGGCTCAGATCACTCAAGATAACACATCTCACTATATGCTCCCCCTTGGAAGAGAGCAATGAAGAAGGTAATCTAGTGATTATATCAGATTTTGTGTTAAAGCATCCAGGTTCGTGTTTGAACTCCATACTAAACAGCAGTGAACTGTTAGACAAATCACTTAACTTGTTTGTTTTCTCACTGTAACATAGACATAACAACAGGCCAGATGGTTGCTCAGGGTCAAACAAGATAGTGGATGGCAGGGGAAACAAGTGGAGTAAAAGCAGTTTGAGCAATAAAGCACTGTGCAAACAGAAGGGCCTACCAATATGCTGCTTGTTCTTACTGCTGCTCTATGACTGCTACCTTTCCCCATCCTAAAAGCCTTATCCCTTCTTTCTCCTCATTCGTGTACTCACTCATACATTAATTAATATAACTAATATTTTTAAGAATTATTACTCTGCCAGCTGGGACCAGCAGGTGGCGTGGTGGTTAAGGCGCTGGACACTCCCACATGGCCGACCAGGGTTCGAGTCCTGAATCTGGTGGCTTGCTTTCTCACTTCCTTTCTCTCTCACTCTCACCCTCTGTCTCTCTCTGGTCAAATTAAGAAATAAATGAATAAATAAATAAATAAATAATTAGTTTAAAAAATAAAAAAGAAAAGAAAAGAATTATTATTCTGCCAGCAGATGGCATGGTGGCTAAAGGCGCTGGATTCCCACATGGCTGACCACGGGTCAGGTCCCGGACCTGGCGGCTTGCTTTCTCACTTTTCTTTTCTCTCTCTCTGTTTCTGTCTGGTCAAATTTTAAAAAATAATAATAGGGAACCAGCAGTTAGCGTAATGGCTATGTCGCTGGACTCCCACGTAGTCGACCGTGGTTCATGTCCCGGA